AAAAAAAAACAATCAATAGATCTGAACCCTCTGTCTTATCCTGTGTCAGTCCCACAATTTCTGACACACTAGAGCTCTTTGCTCCCTGTTGTCAGTCCACCTGGCCGAGGGTCTTCCTCTCCTTCACCATCCCTCCACCTTCCAGGCAACGCCTCTTCTAGACAGAAGTCTTTATAGGGTTGCAGACTTGCCAACCCTGTGTTGGAGAGTCGATGAGCCTTTCTAGTGGGGATGACGACTCTGGGACCTTGTTGCAATCTCAAAAATGACAAAGAATGTGCCAGTGTGGCTTTTTGTCTGGCAGCTCTAGGGTGGGGTGTAAGGGGTGGATTTTGATTGGAGTCGACAGATACATAACCAAGGGTCACTTACCTGCCCCTTCCTCCCTCCAGCGCCAGCATCAGCACCTGGCTACCGTCCCTTCCTGGCAGCTCATTTTCTTCCCTCTGCGTCCCCTCCCTCGTCTTCTCACAGGTGGCTGGGGAGTTCAAGTACCACCCAGAATGCTTTGCCTGTATGAGCTGCAAGGTGATCATTGAGGATGGGGATGCGTACGCACTGGTGCAGCACGCTACTCTCTACTGGTAAGAAGGTGACCCTGTGTCCATCTTTCCCACGAGAGCGGCCAGGGGAGAGGGACAGGAGCAACATGGGGTGATGAGAACCCTGGATTCCTAGCACAGCAGTGCCCCAGACCAGCTCTGTAACCTGTAAGCAAAACAGTTGGCATCTCTCTGTCCTCTGTCCATACTTCCCATCTCATGGCAATCTTCCCCAGAGGGAAAAGATGGCAGAGAAACTGCTCTCCAGGGAGGGTCCCAAAGGAATAAAGTCAGGGACTCCTTAGAGCTCACCCAGTATGCTTGCCGTGGGGAGAGAGTGGTCACAGGCAGAGACACACAGGCTACCTCACCCCTAACCAGTGCACATTGCTGAATGGTGATCAAGACACCAGCCCCAGCCCCAACACAGTGCAAAGACCCAAGCCCCTTATTCTGAAAGCCAGCAGGGAGCGTGGCACAGAGAGGGGTGCTGGGTCTATATATAGTGGTTGCTGAGCGGGGATGGGGGAATGCAGATGGGGCTCCAGAATCCCATCTCACTTTGTGGTCCTTCTTGCCAGTGGAAAATGCCATAATGAGGTGGTGCTGGCGCCCATGTTTGAGAGACTCTCCACAGAGTCCATCCAGGACCAGCTGCCCTACTCGGTCACCCTCATCTCCATGCCGGCCACCACCGAGGGCAAACGAGGCTTCTCTGTGTCCGTGGAAAGTGCTTGTTCTAACTATGCCACCACCGTACAGGTCAAAGAGTGAGTGTTTGCAGGACCTGGGGAGGGGCATGTGCATGGGGAACCTGGGGCTGTTGGAGAAGGGGGTCCCTGCCAGAGTCCATAGAAGAGCCTCAGAACCCGAAAGCCTCTCGAGAGCTCCCCTCATCCTCATCTGTCCTCCTCGTCCTGGAACACACTGTTGTGGTCACACCCGGGCCTTGATACTCAGGACCAGAATCTGTTCACCTTTCAGGTCTCAGAAAATACTTACACTTTAACATTCTTTGACTTGACCTGCGTGTATTAGTTTCTCAGTGGCCCTTCCCATTAGAATGTACGTTCCAGAAAGAACTTTGTCTGGTTTGTTCTGTGTGATCACAACCTGGAATTAACGCATGATTCGTTAGTTATTAGATATTCATTAATGTTGTTTGATTGATTTAATGGATGTCAGAGGAAGGCAGGGAACATCAGTTCCATGACCCAGAAGAGATTAAGACAAGATAGTCTTTTTTTTTTAAGACAAGATCGTCTTAAGACAGGTCAGTCAAGACAGACCCAAGCGGAGCAGGATTCAGTATCCAGCTCTTGCTGACCACGAGCCACCTGTGGCGCTTACTCTCTACATTGTTACTGTGCTGGGAATTGACCTGATGCTTCAGTATAAGGAGAAGCACAAGGGTTGGGAAGGTCAGGAGGAGATGAGATCCACTGTAAACTATCATTAGATGAAGTGAGGAATTATATTCTGGACTAAGGAAGCAGCATGTTCCCAGAGGCCAGAGTCTGTGCTGGTCTGGTTAGGTGGTTAAGAGTAGCCAGAGGGGGCCTGGATTGTGAAGACCCAGGGAGGTCCATTGAGAGGTTTAAGCAGGGAGCAGACTAAGATTTTAGGATTGCTGGCGCTGAGGGTCGACGGAAAGGCGTAAACTGAACAGTAGTCAGGAGGCTTTTGCAGTGATTCAGAGGAAAGATGATAGCTACCACGAGACTGGTGAGCCATAGGCAGACTGGCAGATTCTCAGACAGCAGGATTCTGGGAGAGGCAGTGAGACAGACAGCTTAAGCGGGGGGTGGATGATGTCCAAGTTCCTAGCCCAGGCATCGGGATGAGTGGCGATTCCCTTTACTGAGATGGGGCTCCCCTGGGAAGGAGTGGCCTGAGCCTCTTGGGTAATGGTGGCCAGAGGCCTGGTGAATGAAATTGGCCAGCCAAGTCTTTAGGATGGATACCTTCATCCTGCCCAACTTCCTGTCCGATACAGGGTCAACCGGATGCATATCAGCCCGAACAACCGCAATGCCATCCACCCTGGGGACCGCATCCTGGAAATCAACGGGGCTCCTGTGCGCACGCTCCGAGTGGAGGAGGTGAGTGAGTATCCAGGCCGTCTTGTGGGGTGGGACGTGGAGTTGGTCTGTTGGGAGATTAAGTTGTGGCCTTTCCCTTTTTGTACTCTTGGCACCCTGGGACCACTAGTGACCTCTCAGCCTAGAAGGACTCAGGGCAGCAAGGCTGCCAGGCACAGGGCGCTGTGGAACTCCCTGGATCACCTGGAACAGGGTGGGTGGTCCTAGTGTGGGGCAGCCCAGGAGCCAGCCTCACACTGCTCTTTTTTCTTTTTCTTTTTTTAAGTTGAGATTTTTAACGAAAGTTTACAGAGAACTAGGATTTCCATTCATTCATTGTTGCACATTTTCCTCTTTACCCCCCAGTTTGTTTTTCTCTTTAAAAAACAATTGTTGCACAATTTTCCCCCTCCTCCCCAGTCCACTTTGCTATGCACCTCTTATTCTATTGTCATTCAAGTAATACCTAAACCTATGTTCCTTCTATTTTTTTTTACTTTATACTGATTTATTTACAAAATTTGAATATATTGTTTTTCACAAACATGTTCCTTTTAAGCTTTTCTTTCCCTCATCTATGTCATTGAAGTGTACATTATTTATCCCCACTTTTCCCCTAAACCCATGTCAGTCTTGTTTTATAACAGTGGCATTATGCAGTATTTGTTTTTTTTGTGACTGAGAGATTTCACTTAGCATAATGTCCTCCAGGGTCACTCATTTTGTATATTTCATGAGTTCCTTGTTTTTCAATGCAGCATAGTATTCCATTGTGTGAATATACCACAGCGTCTCTCTCCATTCATTTGTTGATGAGCACGTGGTGGGTTGTTTCCAACTTTTTGCTGTTGTGAACAATGCAGCAATAAACATGGGTGTGCATATATCTGTTTGGGTGGCAGTTCTGGTTTCTTTAGGGTCTCACACTGCTCTTGACCCCAGGTGAAGGACACCATTAGCCAGACGAGCCAGACGCTTCAGCTGCTGATTGAGCATGACCCGGTGTCCCAGCGCCTGGACCAGCTGCGGCTGGATGCACGGCTCTCTCCCCACATGCAGACCACTGGCCATGCGCCCACCCTCAGCGCCCTGGACACCAAGGAGAACCTGGAGGGCACGCTGAGGAGACGCTCCTTGAGGTGCCACATCCCACCCCCACCTTGTCTCCTCCCCGTGGAGTTAGAGAGGGAAGCAGCTGGCAGGGGCTGGCTGTGCGGATTGTGCTGACCCAGCGCCCGCCACCCCCGCGGCCCAGGAGGATCATCATTCATTGCTGGGGCTGTGCATGATCTGACCCAGCTGTCTGCCAGGTTTCCGTAGAAACCAAAGGTCAGCCTCTGTCCACTGAGCCCCTGAGCCACACGAGATGTGGCAGCATGGCCTCTGGGGGAAGTGTGGGACTCAGAGCCTGGAGATAAGGGCCTGTGGAGAATTGACCGAGCGTGTCCAAGGACTCAGGCCATAAAACAGAACGTGAACGTACATTGTTTCTGACTTGTGAGGGAGCAGTCGGTTAAACCTTGAGGTCTACTACCAGGCCCAGGGGAAGGGAGCAGTGTCCCTGGGGCGCGCCTTGTGAGGGAGACTTACAGAGCAGGGCTCAAAAGCAGGCCCCTCAGGGCAGATGCCCCATCCTGAGCTTTGAGCTGAGCTCTCGGCACAAATTGTCTTCCTGGACCTTAGTTTTTGCATCTGTGAAGCAGAGCTATAAGATAAAGCAGAGCTGTAAGATAAAGGTGACTTTCTTGGAAAAAGGACACACAAGGATTGTGCCCAGCACAGTGTCAGTGCTCAGTGAACAGGAGATGTTGTCAGTATCACTAGATGTTAAATTTTTTTTTCATCCTCTTGACCTATCAGCTTAAGCCACTCAAGGCCTTCCTGCTGGCATTTCCTGGAAATAGTCCTCCCACATCATTTCCTGGCTGCCCTTGGCCTTGGTAGCGTGGATGAGCGTGGTAGTGTGAAGGGGGAGCAGCAGAGGGCAAGAGTGACCTGGGGATGCATTCGTGGAAAAGGGAGAGCTGCTCACAGCTCTGAAGGGTTGTCATGTAAGAGAGCAGGCAGCTCACCTGAATACCCCAGTGTGCAGAGCGGACAGGTGTCCTGGGCACAAGTGTGCTGGGCCCGACAAGCTGCGATTCCGCCAGCCTGCGTTCTCCGGCAGCCCAGTAAGACAGAAGCCTGCCACCCAGAGAGGTGTCCAGGGTGGCAGTTCACCTGCAGAGCTGTGGGCATCAGCCTCCTTATCCCTTCTTCCCTAAGTCAGAACAACAGTCATTTACTGTTACTGTTACTAATGCACACAAAGCACCCTCCTGGAAAAAAATGCATGCTTAGTATTATTAATTGGAAGCTCTGGTGACTCAGTGGTAAGGAGCTGCGCTGCCACACAGAAGGCTCACAGTTCAAATCCACCAAGCTGCTCTGCAGGAGAAAGATGGGCATTCTCCTCCCGTGCAGTTTATTCCCTCCAAAAACCTGCTGGAGGGTCAGCTATGAGCCTTAATTACTATTAATTAAGAAAGCATGTTGTTGATAGGTGCCATCAACCAGTTCAGAGTCCTTGCCACTCTGTGTATGACCAGCTCAGATCCTCGCCGCTTGATGCACCGCTGAGCCAGTCCATGCCACTGAGAGTCTCTGTTAGAAAGAAATACTTAATACAGACAGACACAAAGGTGGGCAGACACCACTAAAAATCCCTTCTGCTGGTTTTTGACAGCACCTCTCTGTCAGTTCAAATCCACCAGCAACTTTATGGGAGAAAGACGGGCAGTCTCCTCCCGTGCAGTTTACAGCTCTGCGTCAGTTCCAGCTCGACAGCAGTGAGTTTGAGGGTTTCTTTAGGTCACCGATAGTGTTCCTGGGTGCTGCAAATGTTAACAGTTCTAAGGCTGCTAACTGAAAGGTTGTGTGTTTATCGTGGAGTTCCTAGGAAGAAAGGCCTGGCAAAGAAAGGCTTCTGAAAAAACAACTGAAAAATCATGTAGAGCAGATTTTCCCCTGACACACATGTTGTTATTGTGTGCTGTTCAGTCGGGGCTGACTCACAGCTGAGCCTCCAGGGGATTTTCAGAAGCAGTAAATCACACAGGAGTTGATGGCCCATCTTTCTCCTGAGGTGGATTCAAACCGTGGGCCTTTGGGCTGACAGTGCAGTTCCTTTCCACCAGGCCACCCAGAGCTCCCTGTTGGCATTGACTCCTTGGCAGCTGTGGTGGTTGTGGCAAGCTGGCATTCATTCCTGCCCAGTCAGTACGTTGAATCGAGCGGGCATGGAAGCCCATCTCCTCTGCTGTCATAGAACGAGCAGTATGAGCTAGTGAATGCTAGGCAGTTGTTTGAGGAGGGAAGTAAGGTGCTCCTGTTTGAAGGGGTTTTGAGCTGCCAGTAATCTGCCACACCGAAGTGGCACATCTGTGTGATAACAGCCCCTTCCTCCTCAGCCTCCTGACACCTCGCTCTGGAATGGGTGGGATGTCCCTGAGATGCCCGCCCCTGGGGTCCCCTGGCGGTATCTGAGGACTCCCCTAGCCCCCTTTCCTTGTCCTCAGGCGCAGTAACAGCATCTCCAAGTCCCCTGGACCCTGCTCCCCAAAGGAGCCCCTGCTGCTCTGCCGCGACATCAGCCGTTCTGAATCACTGCGCTGTTCCAGCAGCTACTCACAGCAGATCTTCCGGCCGTGCGACCTCATCCACGGGGAGGTCCTGGGGAAGGGCTTCTTCGGACAAGCCATCAAGGTGAGCACAAGCCATGGCTGCTCCGCTGTTTCGCGCCCCACTGCCTCTCACCTGTTCCCGGGAGTTCTCCTCGCGTGGCCGCACCTCTGCCCCCGTGGAACACCAGGCCTCCTTCCAGTTTGGAGGTGGAAGGCTAGCTGAGAGGGTGAGGAGTTGCCCCTTCTTCCAGGCTAAAAAAGGCTGGTGAAGTGAGCTTGCTGAGCCTGGAGCCCAGGGTCCCACATAGTCTGTCAGTGGGCATTTGTTAGGTGCCACAGGCCTCTTGGTGCTGGGCCGGCTGTGGGGAGCACATAGGAGAAGCTCCCCTCGGTCATGAGCGGTCGAAGGGACTAACTTCTGTCTCTCTCTCTCTCCCCCTTTTTCTTTCTCTCTTCTCTCCTCTGCTGAGTGCTGGGAGGGGGGGCCAGGTAAGCAGTGTGTATATCAGCTTGGGGAACAATGTGCTGAAGAGCTTGCCCACCCACCCAGCTCCACGCGCATGTTCTGTCCCCCAGAAAACCCAAAGGACTCACTCCTGTACCACGAGCCCCAAGTCCCCGCTTGGCTCGGCCTCCTCCCCCAGGTTCTCACCGTGCTCCGCATGCTCGCTCTCTGGGGATGAGGGTGTGCTCCCACTGGAGTCCCTGGTTGCCTCCATGCCGCGTCTTCATTGTCTTCGGAACTCTGCCTGTATGTATCCTCAGGCTCAGAGTGTCTCCAGAGGACGGGATGGCCAGCAGCTAGGTTTCTACAAATGCTTCTCCAGAACTCGCTGCCTTTGGGCACGGCATCATTGACACCTGTCCTCCCTGCAGGTGACCCACAAAGCTACAGGCAAAGTGATGGTGATGAAGGAGTTAATCCGGTGTGATGAGGAGACCCAGAAGACCTTCCTGACTGAGGTGAGACGGGGCGTGGGGGTCGGGGTCGAGATGGTCTCAAGAGGAGAGGTGGTTGAGGGTACTCACTCTTCTCCTAGATCTATAATAAAGTGCTTATGGATATTGAAAAAAAAAAAACAAAAAGAGAAGAGTTGGTTTGGAATGACTCTTGATAAAGAGCTCCTGAGGCAAGCTCCCACCTCCCCTACACTACAGCCTAGTTATTTGTACTAAAGACACACGAGCTGGGTGCCAGGGACACGATAACAAAAGGAACATGGTTGGAGAAGGTAGAAATAAACTTGACTTTGTATAACCTGATGCAGCCGCCTAAATGCCCTGCAGATTGGGACCTCCAAGAGAAGCAGACACCCCCCTCCCCGAGCATTTACCGTCTTTCCAGCCTTCCTCCCCAGCTTGCTCCCTGTCCATGTCTTGAGTTGGCTCCACCCGTCTGGGTGCTGCCCCTCTAGGCCTTTGCTCCCTGCTGTTCCCTCTGGTGCCTGCCTTAGAGCGGTGGGATCCCCACCCACATGACGCTCTTGACCCCCACCTGAACGAGCGTTCCACCACGTCATACCAGCTGGAGGTGGGAGGTGGTGGCACTTGCCCAGCTGCCTCCCCCACGGAAGGGGTGAGGACGGCATCATGGAAGCACCCGGGCCCAACGTCTTCCCCTGCCCCACCAGGTGAAGGTCATGCGCAGCCTGGACCACCCCAATGTGCTCAAGTTCATCGGGGTGCTGTACAAGGATAAGAAGCTGAACCTGCTCACAGAGTACATCGAGGGAGGCACGCTCAAGGATTTCCTGCGCAGCGTGGTACGTATGCCAGACCCCAGGGCTGTGGAGGGGTTGTCGGTGCGATGGCTGTGCCACCACTGCCATGGCACCACGATGGCCAGAGATGCTGCCTCATTCTCCCCTCCATATGTGCCATGTAGAACTGGGCACAGTAGGGAGGGTGCCCTGGAAGACTTGATTGAGCCACAGGAGGCCCACAGTGGGACAAGACCTAACACCTCTGATGGACATTCTCCTATCCTGCAGGACCCATTCTCCTGGCAGCAGAAGGTCAGGTTTGCCAAGGGCATCGCCTCTGGAATGGTGAGTCCATCGGTCCGTCCCGTCCCCACCCCAGCAGTGCTGCTGAGGATGACAGAACAGGCACAGACAAGCAGAGACCCAGGGCTTGGAAGCTTGCGTGCAATGGCTTTTTATTGAGCTGCTATTTGCTTTGATGCAGTTGCCGCTGACCATTCTTAATTCACAACCCTAACTCTTGAGGAGTTCCAAGTCTGCAAGGGCATATGACACAGATGTGGCAGAAGCAAACTGTAGCATGAGGCGCCCTGCACAGTCCTGTCATGAAGGTGTCCTGTCGTGAATGTGTCTCGGAACAAGCAGAGCCCTCACCACCTCACCAAGAACTCGAGACTTCCTGGGGCTAGGAGCATTAGTTGAGCCCCAGAAGATGGGCCAGAAGTGGATAGAGGTTCCTGTTCCTGGAGAAGGCCCTAAGGTTGAGAGTGTGACAGCATCAAAGGTGTGGGAGGAGAAAAGAGGAAATAAAGAATGACACAAAACAGCGACAGTATTAACAGTGGTGGTCAGAGGGCTTTCTGTACGCTGGGCTCAGAGCTGAGGGATTAACACACATGAGCATACTCATTCCTCCTAGGAACCTGGGTTTCCAGATAAGAAACAGACTAGACAGGGACAGAGCTGGGCTCCTGGGCCAATCAGAGGTTTCACCCAGTTCTTTAACGACAACACTGAAACAGATTGGGGTAGATTAAGATAGCTAGGTTTCAAGTTGATAAATCAGGAGGCAAAAAGACTAACATGAAGGATGTGTCAGCAAGAAGATTTTGTCACTAGAACTGTTGTGTGGTTGTGGCTCGTGTGGTCAGGAGGTGGGTGGAGTGGGAGAGTCTGCGGGTGGGAGGCCAGAATCTGATCTCCTGAAGTGTCTGGGGTTTCTGACTTAGTAGGATGGCTGTGAGGACAGGAGACTGTGAAGCACAGTGTAGTTAGAGTGGAGAAGCTGGTTGACAGAGGGAACTGGTGAGCAAAGCTGGAGATGGGACCAGGGAACGAAACCCTCTGAGTGCTGACTGCAGATGGCCTGAGCTTAGTGAAATGAGTGGGATGGCGGGCAAAGGTCCAGTGGCGTTGAGGTCTCCAGAAGAGGGCAGTCGGGGAGCCGGAGCTGGAGCTGTGCAGCCTGGGTTGGGTTCTGAAGCTGGCGGGATGCCTGGAGAAGACCACGCTCTTGGCCCCAGGTCTAGCGTCAGATTTGCTTGGTGTCTGACTGCTGGCTCAGCTCCTGCTTCTCTTCCAGGCCTATCTGCACTCCATGTGCATCATCCACCGGGACCTGAACTCGCACAACTGCCTCGTCAAGCTGGTACGTCCCTAGGCCCAGCCCTCCTGGCTTCTTTGTTCTGAAGAAAGCCCGTTGTCCCTCGTGCTTCAGGCCAGAAGTGTCCCCAGTGTCCTCAGTCTTTAGTTTCCTGCTTCCTAAATCCTCATTTGTCTTCTGAGAGTTTCCAGAAACAGACTGACTTGATTCCACTTCCTCTGGGTAGCAGCTTGTGATGTCATTTGCTTAGAAGGGACTTCAGGAACTCCTTAACTGAGTTCTTAACCACAGAGGCCTGCCACTTTACCTGGTTTCCTCCTGTGAGGCAGCTCGCTGCTGACCCCATTTGGCAGCTGTGTTCCTTGAAGCCTCAGTCCAAAGCCACAGAGCCTGTGGGCTTACAGGGCCTGCTTGGAGCCAGGTTTCGCAATTCCATGTGCCTCTGTGCAACTCTGCTGTTATAATGTTGTTTCCTTTATTGCCTTGTGACCCGGCCTCCTGTGTGTCCACCAGCTGGCTCGGGCTGTGCCCTCTTAACACACCCAAACGGTGTTAATCCCTTTCCAGATGACTGCCCTGTAGCTATTCAGAACGCTTATCTTCCCCAGTTCCCCACAAGGTCCATCTTCCTGCATCCTGTCTTTTTCTCTCTCTTTTCAATGAGTCTAACCACTTCCTTCTGGAAACAAGGCAGGGTGGATGAAATCCTGTCTCACTTCTGAGCCCACTCTCCAAGCCCCAGATCCTCATCCCTCCAGGCTTGAGGTCTCTGCCACGAACACGCTGATACTCCCCAGGAATTCTCTGTGTACACACATTCCACGTTTAGAAACACAAATGCCAAGCCTCAGCTGCCAGGTAGAGTTTTGCCTTGTTGGCTAGCCCAGGTGCCTAAGTGCTTGGCAGTTAGCCAAGAGGTTGGCAGTTTGAGTCCATTCAAGTGCCTCAGAAGAAAGACGCAGCGCCTGCTTCTGAAGAGCCAGTGTTGAAAGCCCTGTGGAACACGCCTCACTCAGCTCCATGGTGACTGGTGTGCATCCGTCGCTGGCCACTTCATCCCCCTCCACTCCAGGGCCAGGCTGGAGACCCTCCCTCCCAGACTCTGACCTGGCCCTCGTCCTGCCAGGACAAGACTGTGGTGGTGGCCGACTTCGGGCTGTCGCGGCTCATAGTGGAAGAGAGGAAAAAGCCCCCTGTGGAGAAGGCTTCCTCCAAGAAGCGCACCTTGCGCAAGAATGACCGCAAGAAGCGCTACACGGTGGTGGGCAACCCCTACTGGATGGCCCCAGAGATGCTGAACGGTGAGTGCTGGGGCCCCAAGGCGCCCAGCGGGCCCCACTCAGGGAAGCCGGTCCTGATAGGACCTGATAGCTCAGGGCTGAACTCCAAGGTTCAGACCTGGAAGCTGGCCCGTGTCCCATTTTAGGGGGAGAGTGAGGTTGAAATAACGACGGTGGGATTTGTGCCTCAAGGTAGCAGAGCGCTCAGGCCCTTTGCTCCAGGTTTTGTCTTCTCTGTCCTTGCTGAGCATTGACGTGTGGCGCCCTCTGGTGGGTAATGCCCTAACCTGCCGGAGGTGCTTAGAGGGGAATCTACACTTACATGATTTGGAGGACTCAGCAATGACCTGGTTCAACCTCTTTTTGGAGTCTGAGGCCCAGAGAGGTTAATAGTTTGCCACAACTCACAGCATGCTGATGGTAGAGCCAGAGGGAGCATGCTGCTTTTCTCTGCTGACCTGTGCAGTTTCCCCCTGGCCAGAGGGACCGAGGGAAGGTTATGGTGATGTCCGCTCAGAAGCATCCCCTTGGGCCCTGTTCTAGCCTGGGTTCTTGGCTGCCTCCTCAAACCGTGCAGAACAAATTAGAGACTTACCACCCTCTTCTGTGTTCCCAAAGGGAAGAGCTACGATGAGACTGTGGACGTCTTCTCCTTTGGGATCGTCCTTTGTGAGGTAAGCTCATGGCACAGGGACGTGCCTGACATAGCAGACCGCGCATCATTGCTGGCCTGCCTCGGGAATGGGGTTCCACCATCTGCAAGAAACCAGTCATTGAGAACTCTGTGGAGCACAGTTCATAAACAGCTGGACTAGGATTTTATCGCTTGTGACACGCGTTCCCAGTTGCTCATGCACCTGAGTTTCTCTGGTCTCATGAAGATGTCTCGGCTGGTTTCAGAAAAGGACAGTGATGCTCAGAACTCCAGTCATAAAGACAAGGTTTTCACATGGCTGCTATTCCTGCTCTTGGCCCCAATGCGTTCTTGCCCAGGCCCCCGCTGCACTACCTCCCCTGCCTGGGGAACCGACAAGTTGAAGTAACCTCTTCAGGATGTGGCAGAGTCTGCTAGGCCCTGTGGATACCGAGTGAGTCCTGATCTGATTCCAGCCCACAGGAATTTAGCCATTGGGCAGCAGCCTAGCTTAAGCAGACAGTTGAACACACATATCGAAAGGCTTCTGTAATTCCCACAAACAAAATCTGCGTGGAAGAGAGAGGAGAAGAACAAGGGCCAATTAGAACAATTAAGGAAAGATTTTTGGGTTGTTTTGGGGGTTTTTCCTAATCATGGTAAAAATATATTTATTAATATGTGGCTGTTGCTATGTGGTGTCAAGTTGCTTGCGACTCATAGCCACCCTATGACAACAGCTGTGAACCCTGCTCTATCCTGTGCCAACCTTACTGTCTCTGACACACCTACCCCCATTACCCTAGTAACTGAATCAATCCATCTCACCGAGCGTCTTCCTCTCTTGTGCTGTCTCTCCACCCTCCCAAGCATGACGACCCTCTCCCAAGGACTGGTGCCTTCTTGCAACATGTCCAAAGTATGTCAGGCAAAGCCTCAGAATCCTTGCCTCCAAGGAGCAGCCTGGTTTCACCCACTGTAGGATGAACTTGTTTGTTCTCCTGGCAGTTCATAGTATATTCAGTACTCTTCTCCAGCACCACAGCTCAAAGGCATTTATTAACAAGTTGCCGCACACTTTTTAAATTGACAACCATGCTTAGACTGTGTTATAGCCATCATTTGTGGTAACATGTTAACATAGGAACCACGTGTAAGTTCCCCCGCCTATCCAAAAGGAGAGCGCTCTAGTGGCAAGAAGCAGCACTGCAATCCCAAAGACACGCAGTTCAAGGCCACCAGCTGCCCCATAGGAGAAGGATGGGCATTCTCCTCCCATGCAATTAACGGCCTCTGAAAACCTGCTGGAGGGTCAGCGATGGGTTGGTTCTGACTCTACAGTACACAGCAACAATAAGCTGAAAGCACATTCCTATAGAACCTTTGGTAAGCTGAAATGGCATACAGACAGCGAAGAAACAATTGCCATTCATTTTATATGGGAAAAACTGTTGCACCTTCCCAGTCCCCCCAAAATAATATGCCAAATAAAACCTAAAATAACACTAAGATGTATAAAATACATGTAACATAGATGCTATTGCTGCCTGGTGTTGAGATGCAGAGTTTATGTGTAGTTCCTTGGGAAGGCAGTTGGTGATGGCCCTCTTGTGACAAACAGACCTAAAGGCTAGTTTTACTCTTCACCTTTTTTCAGAGAGGTAAAAATCGCCACATTTTCTTCCAGTAGCAAAAACAGGTACTGACGTAAGTCTTTCATAAAAAGCAAGTGATATAAAATACTCAAATAGTAGAGAGTGCCTGTATCCAATAAAGGTATTCCAATAATATTCAAAATTCATGCAATATAATAAAATACAGCTCAACCACAGCCAGATCAAAAGGGGGCAAAGAAGGGAGCTCTGGTGGCCTAGTGGCAAGAAGCTGCAATCTTGAAGGCACACGGTTCAAATCTACCAGATGCTCTGCTGGAGAAGGAGTAGCATTCCCCTCCTGTGCCAGTCAGATCCGATTCAGCGGTACACAAGGAAAGAAGAGGAAAAAAAAGTGGGCAAAGGCCTTGAAACAGACATTTCACCGAGGGAGATACTCAGATGGCTAATAAGCACCTGGGAAAATGGTCAGTTGTTGGCCGTACAGAAAGGCAAATCAAAACACCAGAGAGATGGCATCGCACTCCTGTAAGAGCGGGCATTGACCAGGAAAAGGAAAACACTGGGTGCTGGTGTGGAGCAGCCAGAGCTCTCGTCCACTGCTGGTGGGGTGCAACATGGTACCTGAATGTGTCTAACCCATCAGTTCGTCTGCACAGGAGAGTGTGGTGACTGATTCCTTTAACATTACACTCGGAGGGCAGTTCTCTACCGCCCTATGGGCCACAATGAGTAGAGACAATAAGTGAGTTTGCTCTGGATTTTTTTGGAGCCGAAAGGAGGGGGTAACCTGTTTAGAGTTCATTAAAGGTAGTATTTATAATAAGGAGGGAACTCTGGTGGTCTAGTGGCAAGAAGCTGTGCTGCAATCCCAAAGTATGTGGTTCAAGTCCACCGGCTGCTCTGTGGGAGAAGGATGGGCAGTCTCTTCCTGTGCGATGAACTGCCTCTGAAAACCCTTCAGAGAGTCAGCTATGGGTCGTTTCCACCTCGATGGCACACAACATCATCAGGAGGAAGAAAATGCAACAATGGGAAAAAATAATTTTAAAAAGGTATGTTATAATACTGGAGAGAGAATTTGGAAAAGGAGTAAAAATGGTTGTGCAACTTAAAGAAAGTAGTCAGTGCAACTAAAGTGTACATGGAACAACTGATGCATTTTTGTGTCAGGAGACAAATCTGGGGTAGCAGGATTTGGAGAGATGGGCAGAGGGCAGCAGCTCTCTACCTTTGGTCTCTCCCACCCCCTTCCCTGCCTTCCTTCCTGCCCACACCTCAGCACCCTGCCCCCTCACGTGCCGTGACCCCCTCTGTCCGCTCCTAACCGGCCATCTTCTCACCCACAGATCATCGGGCAGGTATACGCCGATCCTGATTGCCTGCCCCGTACACTGGACTTCGGCCTCAATGTGAAACTTTTCTGGGAGAAGTTTGTCCCCACAGACTGTCCCCCGGCCTTCTTCCCTTTGGCTGCCATCTGCTGCAAACTGGAGCCTGAAAGCAGGTTGGTGTCACCCCGTTTCCCTTGGACCCATGTGGTCCTGGGGTCCGTGCTTGGCCTTGGTCCGCTGACTCTGACATGCCAGGTTGGAGAGGGAAGACAAGGGCATAGCAGCACATGACCTTGACGTGGCACACAGGGACCCAGCTCTCTCTTAAAAGGAGAGAAACCACCCGTGAATGTCCTGCCTTCGACACAGTAAGCACTTTCATGCTTACATATTGTCCTTGTCCATGTTCAAATACACACATGCACATATTCTACATGGTTGTCATTTCAGAATAGGTGACAATATTTTGTCTTGCATTTTTCATGTCACAAGCCAGTTTTCCTGTTTGTCATTTTTGTTGAAGACATGAGATTGTACTGAGATACTGTCTGAACACATATAGTATGCATCATGTAGGCATTCCAGCCTTTCTTTACTCTTAGGAGGAATACCACAGTTAGCATCTTTATTTTAGCTAATTATTGCTTTTTAAAAAATCCTTTCAATACTATCTGTAAATACTCCCATAAAGGGATGATTGGGCTTTGTAATTTCTTAACAACATTAACTGATTGCAATTAATGTTCTAAAAGAAAATGAACGATTAAATTAAAAACTCCTATGGTTTGTAAATTTTCACTCAAATGACAGTAAAAGAAAGAAAAGCTAGTGTTAGAGGGTTTTGTTTCAGGATAATTTTTGCATTTTTTCTAAGAATTCGTTTTCCATTCAGCAATTCCTCATGTGATGTTTCCTGATACCAGCTACACTCCCCACATGTAACTACATCCATCCCACTTCCCCTTATGTCCCCATTCTCATTCATCCTTTCTGGTCCCTGCCTTCTGAGGTTTATCGTTAGACAAATACTGCCCTTTTTCTCTTGTTAGTTGATTGTTCCAAGCACTGTGTTCCCACAGGCAGGCCATTCTCTGGACTCAGCCCCTCAGCCTGCCTTCCCTCCTGCTTGGGCAGGTGTCACAAAGCTCTTCACCTCCTCCATTAAGGGCCCAAGGGCATCACACTCCCGCCAGTGAGCCTCCTGCCAGGATGCACTCAGCCCTAGCTCCGTGAGTGGCCAGGCCCACCTGTAGCTGCCTCTGAGCCAGTCTCCAGGGTCCTGCTGTCCCACTGCTTCCACTCTTGCTGCTGCTGTGCACCCATCATTTGCTGCCTGCCTTGTTACAGCTCTGTCTCCTGGGCCTGAGGTTCTCTGTGCAAGAACTCCAGGTCTACAGGAGACGCTCCACTCCTAACTCTTCTTTCCTGGGGTAATGAGGTCCCCCTCTGCCTGGGGATTGGCTGTCTTTTAAACTTAGTAGATAGCAAAACAAACCAATCCCTTTTTCTAGGATTCTATACATGTTGTTTGTATGGTTCCTATCTCCCCATAAGAATGCCATGAACCTTGTTTCTGTTACTAGCAAGTTGTCCAGTCCCCTGGATGGGCCTGAAGCACCTGATTTGCAGAGTTCCACCCTGTTGTTTGGTAGAATTTACAAGGTCAAGCTGAAAGGTCATGTAACATCCATCCTCACACCTCCGAAGCTCTGCACTCTCAGTGACGGAGTGTAAGAGAATGAGGAGGAAATGTGGAGCGACCCAATATTTGTTTGTTCATATCCCTTCTCAGTCATTCTAAATGTGTCTTTAATTCATTCCAAAAATATTTACTGTGCCCGTGCCACCTGGGAAACACCAGAGTGTGGTGAACAAAACAAAGATTTTGCCCTCACGACATTGACACCTTGGCAAAGCAAGATGATAAATAATAGAATAAATGAGAATCTACACTGCAGTCCCAAAGACACACGGTTCAGATCCACCAGCTGCTCCGCAGGAGAAGGATGGACAGTCTCCCAGCTGAATGTTAGGTGATAAATGCTGAAGGGAAATAAGTCAGTCCAGGAAAGAGGACTCTTTGGGTTGCCACGTGGAGTTTTTTAAATGGGGCTCAGGGCAGGTGTCACCAGGAGAAGCGTAGCTATGGGAGAGGAGGAATAAGCCGCAGCAGTCCAGGAGTCCAGTCCCGCTGACCCGGTCCACAGCATCAAGCCCGGTGCCTGCCTGTTCCTCCTAGAACTGCCAGCTCGAGGTGGTGCACTTCCGGCAGCTCCCACGGTGCGGAAACAGGAGGAGTAGAGAATCTTCCAGATCTCACTTAGTCCAGTCCCACTTCTTTAAAAAGTTGTGATTTGAATGAAAGTTGACAAAGTAGATTGGTCTTCCGTCCAGCCATTCGTAACACATCATATTTTACAACATTAATTCCAGTCCTCACAGTATAATAACCACATCTTCCCCCCACCCCCCCCACACACACACACGATCCTCATTTCCATTCATTCATTCATCCCTTGCTCTTCCCCTTTCCCACCATCTGAGCTTTAACTTCCGGCAGATGCTGCTGCTTGTTGGCCTTCACTGGTTCGTTAATCTCAGGAATGTCTCCCTGCTATTACTGACCGTGTAGGCTTGTCTCTGTGGCTGAAAGTTGAGCCAAAGGGTGTGTTTTGCTCCAGGTAAGGGCGACTAAAGGCAGAGTCCAGTCCCTCTTTTGGTGATTGTATTTTCTCAAAAACACAAGAGTTCTGAAGACACTCACTGAGCCCGCCTTCTGAGTTTTCTAGTCCTCACAGCTGACTGGAGACGGCAGTGACACACTCCCCCGTTCACAGTGCGGCACAAGTAGGAGGAGCCCAAGACACATTCACGTCTTGATCTCTCCAGCCCTGGAGCCTGGTGCCCTCCAAGCCCAGGGCCCCAACTCGTGCGCTCCCACCCCTCGCCCCCCGCCTCTAACTGTTGCCTTTTTCTCTCTCCAGACCAGCATTCTCCAAACTGGAGGACTCCTTTGAGGCCCTGTCCCTGTACCTGGGGGACCTGGGCATCCCGCTGCCCGCAGAGCTGGAAGAGCTGGACCACACCGTGAGCACGCAGTATGGCCTCATCCGAGACTCACCGCCCTAGCCTTGGCCCGGCACGGCCGGCATGCCCCCTCGGTGCCCCGTCCGGTGGCTTCCTGTGCATCGTGCATCGGCAGCTTGTTTGAAGCAGCACAAGCCATTCCTACTACCTCCCCAGGAGGCAAGTGGGCGCGCACCAGGGAGAGACATCTCCAGGGGGTTCGAGCCTGTTTACAGTCTCTAAACCCCACGTTTGCCTGAAAGCTGTGAAGTAAAAACCAAGCCTGGCCAGGAGGAACCTGTTACTTGGAACCAGGTGGGAACTCCCACCTCCAGAGACATGAGAGGGGCCCCTGCCTACACTAATCAGCATGATGTGGACCTGCTGGGCAGGGTCCTGGCCTGTCAGCCCCTAAAGTCTCAGTAAAGCTGGTGCACAGAGACTTCAGATGGGACTGTGGACCTTAGAGACCGGCCGCCAGGTGGCGCTCTGACAGTAATGGTGGTGCTAACCCACCTTCCCCTGCGGTGGGACAGGGTGAGGAGAACTGGATTTGGAAGACTCTTTGTGCTGGAATTGTGGGGAGCACTGGTTTCTATTCCTGCCCCAGAGGATGGCCATAGCCAACCCAAGGACCATTGATGAGGGAGCTGCTTCCACCTCATGTTCTCAAACCGAATGCTGGAGGCTGGCTTGGCCTCCCTGGGCAAAGGTCCTTCCTGCCTGCTGCAGGCAATCACCCACAGAGGCAGAAGGCATCTGGGCGCTGGAAGGAAAGAGGCCCTGCCCTCTGGAAAACCCGTTTCCTGGCTGCTGTCACCCCTAGCCTGGTGGGCTGCTTGGGCAAAGTCCAGAAGCATCTCCCCAGGTTTTCAGACATTGTGCTGAGACCTTGGTGGGCTGTGGTGGAGCGAGTGGCCTATTACAAGGTCTAAGGCCTGGTAGCAGGAGGAGATAGTGTTCCCCTGGCCTCAGCCTTGCAGCGGCCAGTTCTTCCCCTTCCCTGTCCCTGGTGCAGGGTGGAGAAGGGGTGGCAGAGCCCCAAAGCTGAGACAGAGGGGCATCGCTCCCTGAGCTTGGCCAGCTGACTTCTACCTCCCTGGTTGCCTGGCCCAGCTCACTGGTTCCTGGCCACAGCCTTGGGGGGCACTCTTCCGCCTTGGCTTCCAGAGCTCCAGGGCTCTTCAGCACAACTAGATTTGCCTCCTAAGTGTCTGCAAGCTTGCACAATATTTAACAAATTGGGCATGGGCCTGGGATAGTAATGCAGTGTGGTAGGGGTTTTTTGTTTGGGGTTTTTGTTTTTTTTTTTAGGGGGGTGGGAGGGATGAGCGTGATCCAGGAGAGTGGTTGTTGTTTAATACTGTCTTTATCTCGTTCTGTCTGTTGGGTGATGTGTGAAATACTGTACATAGTTTTGATGAGGTGGGGTGCCAGCTGCCATCTCGGAGCAGAGCTGACTTTATACTGTTCACGTGTGTAGAGTTGGCAGGCTCGTCACGGGGCTGAACCCTGCGTGCCCAGAAGCAGCCGAGTTTAGCGCTGTGTGGCTGTGACTCAGTTATCCCCAGCAACTGTGGGAGTGATGGGCCAAGCGAAATGAAATTAGCAGACTAAATAAATTAAGCAGTTAATATAACGGATGTTACAGAGTTGAAAAATGTGATGGGCTCCAGAAGATGAATGTGGCTCTGTTGGCCCGTTGCTGCCAGCAGATACAGGGCCCCCTTTTGCTCCTCCCAAGGAGCCGCTGGCCGCCTTCCTCCCATCGAGTTGCCTTTCACTGCACAGTGACTCCATGAACAAGTGCGCAGACTGTCGCCTTCATCCCACGCCGCCTTCACTTGCTTGAGCCAAGTGTTGCGCACACGGTGTTTTGAGCACCTTTCAACCTAGAGCAACTCGCAAGGTTTTCATTAGCTAAGTCACGGAGGGAGATCTTCAGGCCACCTCTGCCCAAGGTCAAGCTCCCTGGGCTGCCTTAGGAAGTTCTGTTGAAGCATGTCCACCTGGGGTGACCCTGCTGGTATTTAAAGTACCAGGGACACAGCTTCCAGCATCACGCAAACCAGTGTGACAGAGACGCAGGTGGTAGGGCTCCTTTCTCACGGGTGAGATGAATGCAGGTCACCCCCCCACCTCTTGTGCTTTCTTACACACTCAGTCTCCTACCCACTAGTCCACTAGTCTACGAACTCCTTTCTTCCCACCCCCACCCCCCCGACCTGGGGGATGTTGTGGAGAGGTTAGCCTTGACCAGGCAAAGCTAGCTGGTTATGGAGTGTGGAACAATACACTCAAATGATTTCCCCAAGCACGCCCAAGACGAGTCTGTCAGGAGAACCGGTACCTAGGGTGCCTCTTGCAGAGTGACGTGGCAGCTTTCCACTGCAACCCTCCCCAAGCACACCCATCTCTCCTCTAAGGCTATAGAACCACTACCTGCTTCCCTGACTCCAGCCCCACAGGGCTGCCCAGGCTCTGGTTTTCACCAGCTCAGGAAAGACGATAGAGCAGGAAGTGGCTGCTCCATTGGGCTGTCTGCACATTGTCCTCCCAGCAGCTTCACCCAAAGGGACCCCTGGTGAGGACACCAGCAGCCCAAAGAGGCCAAACCATTCACCCGCTTCTGCCTCTGGCTTCCGGATCCAGGCCCAGGGGCAGGAGAGCAGGCCTGAGCCCACCGCACACAGGTCCCAACAAGGTGGCCCACAGCTCAACAAGCATCACCAAGATCTGGCAATATGCCATCCTTTTTTTAATGTAGAGAAGTCAAATGCAGAGCAGTTTCCTGTACTTTATACACAGGTGTCAGAATGAGGTATATAAAACGTAGACAGAGAAATGCATTTTTAGAAAAGTAGAAACCAGTAAGTAATGTCTTCTCTGGCATCAAACCACCAAGGGACCACCCAAAGCCTGGGTCCCTCAGCAAACAGCTCCAAGGAAGGAGGGAGCCATGCTCCCCCACCCCACCCAACCGGAAATGGAAGGACTCTGGGGAGGAAGCACTGGGTGGGGCACACTGCCAAGGCCTCCAAGTGGGACAGTGGGGCACTGAGCCCAAACACAGTGCAGTGAGGAGATGCTGGGGCCCCCCTCCAGGCCGTGCCAGAGACTTGCTCTATCCCTGCTCCCATCATGGTCCCTTCTCGGTTCTGTGTCCAGAAGACTTGGAGAACCCTTCGGTTCCTTCCAATGGCTCTGTGATTGTTTTGCAAAGTTAAAGGTTGTGACCCAACCCCACTGGAAGGCACTGGCCTGGGGAGCACAGGGTCACCTGCAAAGCCAGGCTCCCACGGGGGGATCCCTAACACACTTGATCACCTGGCCGCCTTGGTTTAGCTTCCAGGTCAACCTTTCAGAAGCAGCGCTCAGCGGGCCTCTTACCCTGTGAAATGCAGCGAGGTCGCCGTCCCCAGCCTGAGGAGACGCAGTGTGGGGCTCTCTGTGCCCCTGCAGTCTAAGGCAAGGGGTGGCCCTTCTCTCCCCTCATCCTTCGTGTGGTCCTGCCTGTCCTTTCTAAACAGGAAGAGGCCCTGTGCTCAGGCCCAGCCCGCGGCCCAGGCGGCACCACACTGCCAGCAGGCGGGGTCCCGCACTGGACCCAGAGTTCTGGCTTCTGTACAAACTCATTTCCGGTTCTCAGAGGTCAGGAGGGAGTTCCTATCCCAACGGGTGAGTTTGTTTTTTTAAAAAAACAAAACCAAAACCAAACCCCTGCATTTTTAAAATACCCCCTTCCCTCAACCTGCATGACCTGAACTATGTATAACAGCGTGTGCCACACCAGCCCGTGGGGAAGAAATGAGAAGGCAGAGACCAAGGCCATCTTGGAAAATAAAGCAGAGGAGCCCGGAGCTCCTGGTCCATCACTGGCCTGGAAGCCCCTGGAGGCAGCACTAGCCACAGGCAAACTCTCACTCCACAGGGTGGAGGAGGGGTATGGGCAGTCCCTCCACAGCCTGGCCCTCAGCTCACAGCCATCACTCCTGTCTGCTCTTGGGACTCAACAGAAGAAAGTGGAGGGAGGGTTGGAACCACAACAAAAAGGAGTAGATGCTCCCAGGCGTGGGAGGGTGTTGTCTCGCACCCATTGTCTCACGGGTTCCTGCTCGCAGGATGAGGGGGCTCAGGCCCCTGGCGTGCCAGCTTGGTCCATGAGGGGGGCACTGCCCTCCTGAAGGTCGACGGGGGTCTGGCTAGCATGGACCACCACGGTCTTCTCGTCCACAATCTCACAGGTGGGGTTGGTGAAGGCAGACAGGGGCAAGGTGATTCGCTGCATCTCCCTCTCACAGGCCTTCTGTTCATGCTTCTCTTTCAAGTCCTTCCCCCTGTGGAAAGAGGGCATGGGTCAGGCTGGGCACAGGGCTGGCCATGGTCCTGGCAGGCTGGGACTCCAACCCCACTTCAGGGGCTACATCCTGCCAGGCAGCCTCGAACTCAAGGCGCTCCTGCACCGCGGGCTCTGCTTCCTCACACAGAACGAGATGAGGCAGCGTGGCCCTGCTCACACCCGGGGAGGCTCAGGCAAGCCGTTTTTGAATCAAGCGTTTTAGTCCTTTATCCCAAGGTTGCAAGCAAAAGGCACAGAGGACTATCGTCATGTCAGCCCTTACCCATAAAGGTGCCCAGAAAAACATCTGTTCTCAAGGTGTGGGCCCAGCCTGGAGGCAGGGAAGGTCCCCAACCCCTTCCGTCAATGGGAAAGGATGGCCATCCTGTAAAACCTGAATTTTCACTTGTCTGTGGATCTGCCTGTTGTTCAGTGTGACCTCGTCGTCGTCTTATGTGGAGTCCTCACTCCATGCTGTCGCCCTGTCACTTCCTCTCCTGTCTCGCCCTCGTTTCCCTCAAGTCAGAGCCGACTCCCCGCTGACCCTCCAGGTTCTCAGGAGGCAGCAGAAATGGGGAGGAGACTCCCCATTTTCCGCTCACCACTCAAAAGTCAAACTCACTGCCTTTGAATTGGAGCTGACTCGGAGCAGGTTTTGAGAGGCTGTAAATCACATGGGAGGAGACGGCCTGTCTTTCTCTCTCCTATTTTGTGTGCACATGTGTATCGAGCCGATTACAACTCCTTGCAACCCTGTGAACGTCTCTAAACCTTGCCCCATCCTGCTCCATCCTCACAAGTACCACCGTGCAGTCACTGTGTCAGTCCATCCCCTGGAAGGTCTTCCCCTCTAAGAAGGACCCTCTCCCTCCGCCAGCATGCGGCTTTTCCCCAAGGACTGGCACCCCCTGACAACATGCCCCATGTATGTGACACAAGGTTTCACTTCCTCCAAGACCGATCTGTTTGCTCTTTTGACAGTTCGCTCCGCACAGGGCGGGAGGCCCAGCCCAGCTGGCGTGTAGGGTGATCTGATCCTCTGCAGATCGGACGCACCCTGCACAGCCAGACCTGGACGCAGGTCAGCATTCTCCAAGAACAGCACCAGCAAGCCAGCCCTGCCCACGTGGACTCGGCCTCAGAGATGGTCCCTAACAGGTGGCTGGGGGCTGAGAAACAGCCAGGGCTGCAAGCTCTCCTCAGGGAAGCTGAGCTGGAGCAATGACGACGCATCCATCATGATGCAAAAGGCAGTGACAAAGGCAGACGACTTTGAGGGGCGACTAGAGGGCTGGAGGCAGGGAGGGCTTACGTGGAGACCTCAGAACTAACTTTAAATCATCCGGTTTCCTTTACGTATGTACCAGAACCTGCTCAGCAGCTATTTATCTGTGTGACCCTTGAAGCGAAACAGCCCCTTTGCAGCTTTGTTTTCTCATCTGTAAAACGAGGGTACGAGCTGCCTTACAATTAAGATAATGCATGTGAACGAGCCTGGAAAGCAGCAACACCGCCTGAAACACCCTAATAGGTGCTTATTAATGATACGCCCCGAACACATCTTGACTCATCTAACAATGTTATCGTCATCTGGTCGTCCAAGGAAACAGTTCTACTGACCGGCCCCGGCAGGAATTATTTATGTGACCTCAGCTCCCTTCTTCTCTTCATCTGTGAACCATAAAGATGAGTGCTCTTGTCTCCAGAGCCCCTGACGGATCCCACGCACAGAAGTGTGCCGGTCCCCCGGCTCTCAAGGTGAGCTCACAGCAGCCAAATTTGTGAACTCATCCCCGAGCTACGCTGGGACTCCCATCATTCTTCATGCCATTAGCGTCTGTACCGAACGCCGTCAGCTCCCAGAGCAGGAGACCTCCACCCCCTCCCTGTGTCCACAGAGAGGAAGTGGAGGGGCCTGTCCATGTGGAGGGGGCTGTCCGTGTGGAGGGGACTGGCCAGACACACAGCAGCCCCTGGGGACTCTACAGGCATAGCTGCCTCCATGATAAAAATGCCAGCATCTACAATGTTGCCTGTGAAGGGAGACGCTCAAGAGGGTCCTGCTTTCCTTTTATTTAGAGTTCCCCAAGCCAAAAGTCTGTTTACAAAGGAAATGGTGTATGTGACCATCTTTTGCCAAGCTCCTTGACAATTCTAAGAAGCTAGAGGGAGAAGAGAAGGCGGGAAACGTCTGGAATACCTACTAACATGCTGAGACAATGGCTTTGCCATTACCCAGGGGTTGAAGAGATACCTACACGTCTAGCTGAAGGCCATGTGCTTTATCTCTTTTCAATATCACGCTTACTTTGCAAGATAGCATCCCCATTTGATAGAGGAGTAGACAGGGTTTGGAGTCCAACTACAGAGCTACAGCTTTTCTCAGCTCCCTCCCCCATCAAGCTGTGCATGCCCAAGGCTTTAGGGGGGAAGACCCCCATTTGTATGAGGGGAACATACTAAGGCTTAGAAACAGCAGAGAGAGAGGAAGCAGGTGTGGGCCAGCCTGGATTACAGCCTCATCCATGGAGAGACCTCCAAGTACTGCTGGCTCTGGTTCCCCCTCCAGCCCCCGTTGATGGTGCCTGGGAAGCCTGGAGACACAGCAGTCACCCCAGCTCTTAAACACAGGAGAGGGGCCAGGGGGCACCAGGCCTGTGCTGACCATTGGGCTACTCAGCTCCCACTCACCGCCTGTGGGAGCAGCCAGGCTCTCTCATCTGGCAGCCAAGAACGAACAAAAGGCTTATTCACTGACTCAGCTCCTCTCCTAAGTGGGTGGAGTGGTGTTGACTTACAGCTTTCCCCTTGCCTTTTTATCAGAAAATAAGAGGTCCCTTAGGAGCTACGGGCAGAGCCGCTGCCCAGTCGCAGACTGGCTGGCTGAACCTGTGACCCAGACAAGGAGGACCAAGCTCTCGCGGGGCTCAGCCTCTCCGTCGTCCCCCACCTGCCCCCAGAGGAAGCCTGGAGCCTGCCTGTCCTTCCCAGCCAGGGGGAAGTTCCATCCGTTCGCCACAACTTCACTGCGAGCTGGAGGTTTGGGGTAATTCTATCTCTGACTGCTCCCAGGCCAGGACGTGGAGCCAAGCTGGCCACAGAGACTGGGCACAGATGACCCCGCAGCCTGCCCCTGCTTCCTCCTTCTAGGGTGGTGAGACACCTCTTTCAGGCAGCTTTCCTCACTTTAGTCCTGACCCCTGAGCCACTGTTATCTCGTAGGGTGGTGCCTCACTGTGAGGCAGGGAGAACCCCGCCCCCCAGAGCTGTTCTAGGCTGTGAAACCATCCTGAGGTCCTAACCACACCCTCATTTCATCCTCCCAACAAACCTACGTGCTCTCTCTCATGATACCTGCTTAGAGACGAGAAGGCAAGAGCAGAGATTAAATCATCTGTTCAAGTGAACAGCATCGCTGGGGTCCGAACCAAAGAACTGCTCGCCTACCACCAGGCAGTATGTCATTTTAGGACATATTCTGACTGTGAGCATCATCCTGTGTAACTCCCCGTCCCTAACCTATTTTACAGATAGGAAAACTGAGGCCCAGAGAAGAGAAATGACTGGTCAGTGTCACCTAGAATTTAAGCCAGTTCAGGGCCTGGATCCTGGTTCTTTTGGATTTCCTTCCCCCTTCCAAGTTTCTGCATTTTTCCTACTTTGCCATCCAAAGCCAATTTACATGTTCACGCAATGCCACTGGACCTCAGAGGGAGCTCTGCTGGCTTAAGTGGTAAGAAACTGTGCTGCCAACACAAAGGTAAGTGGTTCGAATCCACCAGCTGCTATGGGAGAAAGATGGGCAATCTCCTCCAGTGCAATTTACAGCCTCCAAAAACCCATTGGAGGGTCAGTACTGGATTGGTTCCAACTCGATGGCACACAACAGCTCACTTTAATAGTGGACTTTTTGAAGATACTTTTTAAAGACTTTTAAATCCTTAAGCACCACATCCAAGATGTGTGACTGGGACGGAGTATTTAACTCCCCTAAGGTCTCAGCCTGAAGCACCTGCTGCGGAGGGTCAAGGACTGCAGCTTCCAATATGGACTGAGGCTCAATGTCAAGAAGACAAAGATTCTCACCACTGGGCCAATTGGCAGCATCAGGATGGATGGTGAAGAGATTGAGATTGTTCACAGCTTTAGTTTGCTTGGCTCCACAGTCAACACTCTTGGCACCAGTAGCCAGGAAATTAAAAGGCACATTGTCAAGGGAAAGTCTGCGGTTAGGGACCTCTCCAAAGTACTGAAGAGCAATGGTGTCTCTCTGAAGACTAAGGTGCATCTGATACAGGCCATGGTCTTCGCAGTCACTTGTTATGCATCAGAGTTGGACAATGACCAAGGAGGATAGAAGAAGAATTGATGCCTTTGAGCTGTGGTGCTGGAGAAGAGTATTGAGAGTACCATGGACTGCTACGAAAACAAACAGAGTCATCCTGGAAAGGGTTAAACCAGGTGGCTCCTTGGAGGCAAGGATTCTGAGGCTCCCTCTAACATACTTTGGACATGTTGTGAGGAGAGACTGGTGCTTGGGAGGGTGGAGGGACAGCGCAGGAGGGGAAGGTCCTCTATGAGGTTGATTGATTCAGTGACTGGGATAATCAGGATGGGAGTGTCAGGGACAATGTGATTAGCATAGGACAGAGCAGAGTTTAGGGCTGTTGTACACAGGGTCGCTATGAGTCGCACTCAACGGCACATAACAACAACAACAACAAGGTCTCAGCTACTCCCTGTAAAATGGGGTGACAGCGCTTCTCACACACAAGTGGTCACAAGGCTGAGGTGAGATCTGGGGAGAACTCACAGGACCTGACTTGGTAAGAAAGCAGGTGATAAACACTACCTGCTGTTGTGCCAGTTCTCTGATCCGAGTCCTACTGCTCGGATTTAATCCTGACAATGACCTTGGTCAGGCGAGTTAGGGAGGAGTCTATCCCCATCTAACAGATGAGAAACCGAGGCTCATCAGAAGATGATGCAATCTGTACTCAGCTGACAGCTCTTCCCAAGACACCGTTTTCTGATCTGGGGGCAGGGAGGGAGTTAGAGAGCCTGCACGTGAGAGAGCCCAGAGCTGAGAGCTTGCTGCCAGCCCACAGCAGCTTCCTGTTGTTAATGACATCGTGTTCTCAGATCATGTTGTTGAAGAAAGGGGTGGTCTAGCGGTTAGTGACTGGGGAGTCGGGTGACTGGCTCCTGGCTTTACAGGAAGTGCCGGAGGGCACTCGGTGAATGCCCAGAAAACCAAATCGAGAAGCGAAAAGGCCTGGCTTCCTCCCTGAGCACCAGAGCAGAGCCTGGAATTAACAACAGGCAGTCGTTCCAAGCACCTGGGTGCCTGGAAACTGTCACGATTAGAGAGCAGAGGCCAGTGCGGTCCAGCAGCCCAGGAAGGAAGAAGCCTTTAAAGGGCTCAGCCACATGGTTTGGGCCTGCCTATGGATTATAAATTCCGGTGGTTTCGTGGAAAGGACTGTAACCCTAATCCAAAGGCACATGGCTCGAATCTACCTGCTGCTCTGTCTCCTGCCATGCAATTCACTGCCCCTGAGAATCCACTGGAAGGTCAGCTATGAGTTGGATCCAACGTGACTGTACATAAGAACGAATTCTATTGTTTCCGCAGTCTCTTGTATTGTTGTTGTTGTGTACTGTAGAGGCAAAACTGACCCACAGCTGACCCTCCGGCAGGTTTTTAAAGACAGTTAACCACAGGAGGTGATTACCCATCCTTCTCCCACGGAGCAGCTGGTGGATTTGAATTACATGCCTTTGGGATTGCAGCACAGCTTCTTCTTGCCACTAGGCTGCCAGAGCTCCCTAGTCTCTCATACAAAGAAATTAAACAAGCAGGTATGTCTGGACTCATCACCTCTGCCATCCCAGTGGTGCCAACTGCCATGGACTGAGGGTTCAGGGGACTCTCTCAGGCCAATCGCTTCGCTTCCCTGGAATTACTGAAAATCACAGAACTGGGCTAAGAGAGCACTTGTCTAGCACTCATTTTAACACACTATGCAAAGTGAACCACAGGACTTTACCCCAGGGGAGTCCTCTAGAATAGGAAATAGAAGTAACCTGAGCAACATCACACAGTGACAGGGCTAAGACATCAGCTCCATCAAAGGCGAGCTGTGTGACCTGGAGCAAGATACATGGCCCCTCACCTCAGTTTCCACACCTGCAAACTGGGAATAAGAACACCTTTGATCTCACCTTAAAGTGTGACTTTTCAGTGAGTTAAAGCAGGTGAAGTGCTTGAAGAAAAGTCCAATGAGGAGAATGATTATTACTCTTAAGAATGATGATGATATCTACACTGCCCTGCTCCGTGGGTGAAATGGAGAGGCTGAGTGCATCAACTTTAAGGACCTTACATATACACGCTGCTCCAGGGTCAGGCATAGTCAACACTGAAAAATGCAATCCACATGTCTCTTCCCCTACGGAAAGCCTTCTCAGACCATATGGGAGGAAATATCACAGACATACAAGGCTGGACGACAGACCTCCTGATTGCACCCAGGAATGGCCAATGGTTTCTCTGGAGTCAGCCAGTGCTGGACAAATGACTGCCACCAAGGTCTGTCTACATGCATTGTCACTCTGAGACTCTTGGACCCTTCTCTCCACAGTGTCTCAGGGATCTCTCTAAATACCTCTCCTCCTCTCACTGTCCCAGTCACAAGCCCGGTCCCTGAGTTTCCCAGGTAGCCTCTGTGGCTTTCTTAAACATGACGAGGGCTGGAAAAATCACTCATGGTCTGTGTTCTCCATCATTTCCTCCTCCTTCCAAGAGGAGATCTTGTTGTTGTTATCACCTCCGACTCATAGCAACCTTATGCACAGCAGCTCTGAAGTCGGCCCTGTCCTGAGCCAGTCTCACTGACTCTGACACACCTACTCCCACTGCCACAGTTACTGTGTCAATCCGTTTCATCCAGGGTCTTCCTCTCCAGCACTGTCCCTCTACCTTTCTGAGCATGATGTCCTTCTCCAAGGGCTGGTCCCTCCTGGCCATGTGCCTGAAGTATGTGAGACGGAGTTTCAAAATCCAAGGAGAAACTTGGTTTCACCCTTATTGTGTCTAATTCTAGGTTCCATGCGGCTTGAAGCTGCACCCTTTCACTCCTGCACAAAGGCTGGCTGGGGACCTTTTCAAGCAGCAAGTTCCTACCTCACAGGATGCACTTCTGGTCACCACAATGAATGGCCCGCCTGATTTCTGCAGCACGCCACCCACTTCCATGCCAGGCACCCTGGATTAGTCAGGAAGCCTGGAATCAAAAGAGCTGGACTTGAACCAGTTTCTGTGACTCCTAGGCACCATGACCTTGGGTAGGACACTTCACCTCACTGACAACAGCTTCCTCATCCATAAGGCTGAAAACTTGATCAACTACTTCATAAAGCTCTGGGGGAGGAGTAAAGGCATCAAAGAAAAGTGAAGCCTCCAGACTGTGACACTCATTTTAACTCAATTCCTCACCTGGCTTCCTCTGGGGTAGGAGAATGCCCCAGAAAAATCTTATTTGACTGGAAGAGATGGATTGATACAGTTGGGAGTCAGTGAGACTGGCTCAGGACAGGACAGGCTTCAGAGCTGTTGTACAAAGGGTGGCTACAGGTCGCCGGCAACTTGACAGCACATAACAATATCAACAACCTTTCCCCTCAGCAGCTCTGGTGACTTAGTGGTAAGGAACTGCACTGGCAACTCACAGGTATGCAGTTCGAATCCACCAGCAATCTCTTTCCTTATGATGCACTGCTTCTGAAAGCCCCTCGGGGGGTCACCACCTTTCCCCCTTCAACTCAAGAGAACCCACAAGGCAAAGCTACTGACCTCTTATACGTGTAGCCCAAGATGATGCCAACTCCAATGGCGATGATGACCACCATCATGGTGATGCCCAGCACATAACCTGCCAAGAAGACCCAAGTCCCATCAGCCACATTTTGGATGATGAGTAAATGAGATCCACAAGGCGAAAGGAGTGGGATGGTCCTACCGAGGGTCCCCAAGTCCTTCTTCTCCTTGGAGTTCATCCGCACGCGCTGGCTGATGCCGATCACAGGTTGTACAGCCGCCGCCTCACTGCCCGCTGGTAGGGCCTTCGCAGGAGGGAACGCCTGAGCTTCCTCCTCCACTGGCTCTTCAGAGGCCTTCTCCGTTTCTGTTAGGAGGGCTGGCGGCGCCTGGGATGGGGTCTCTGGAAGGGAGGTGGGTAACAGCTCTCATGAAAGACAGTTCTCTGAGAATTCCATAGCAGAAGTAGGCACGCGTGTTAGGGGGATAGTAAGGGGTTCACCTTAGCGTGCCCTCCAGAAAGACAATGAAATCAAACCCTACGTTGGAAGCAAGACCAGGAAAGGCCGGGGCTGGAAAGGATGCAGCGTCACTGAGCCAAAATTATTCGGGGAAGCTTTAGACAAGGGCCCTTCTCCTGCCTCCCATGCACGCCTATATTCAAATCCTAGCTCCAAGCTGAGTCCACCTTCCTCAAGAGATCCCCAAGAAGCGCCCCAGGAGGCTCTGGGAGATCACATTAATTGAACCCACAGTGTGCCAACCCGTGCGTGTTCCATTTAATCTTAAGAAAACGGTGTTGCTGCCTCGAGAGGAACACGTCTGCACTGTAGACACTTAAGAAACTTGGATTCATATGTGTAGCGGTGACTTCTGGGTGCCCAAACCCATGAGCTGCGACTTGCATTCAGGAAACTACTGGGCCTCAGAAGCCTTTTTGTCCCAGAGGTGCATTTGGAGAACACAGTGTCCATAAATAGCTCATAAAAGCCAAGCCTGGGCGCGGCCCGGGTGTTGCCCGGAGGCTGCGCGCGGACGCGGGAGCGGTGCGCGCGGCCGGGGTGGGCCCCGCCCCTCCGGTTGTTTACAAGGCGCTCGCCCAGAATGAGCTCACTCCGGGCGGCGGCCGCGGCCAATGGGCTTTCGGCCCTGCGGCCTGGAGACAAACCTGGCCAATCAGAAGGTGCGGGGGCGGGGCGGGAGCAGCACGCATCCCACGGCCACACGTGCGCGGCGGGTGAAGGGGGCTACACCCGTCCCAGCCTGGCGGAAGGGTCCACGGCCCGGGTACCTGGGCAGCGCAGGTCCTGGCACAGCCGCTTCTCGGGGACGCCGGCGTCGCCACTGACGTAGCACCAGGGCCCGCGCGGGTCCTGGTCCGGATTCCTGCAGTAGCTGTGGTTGCCCGCGCCTAGGAGCGGAGAGATCGCGGTGGTCCGGGGATTCCGGCCGCGACGCTGCCCACCCGCCGCCCGGGGCCATCACTCACCCGCCGTGGGGGCCGACGCCAGGCCGCTCTGCGCGTCCAGCCAGTTGAGGCATTGGAAGCCTGGCGCAGGCGAGGGCTGGTCCGCCCGGTACCGGTGGCCGCGGTCCCAGAAGCAGCCTGTGAAGAAGAGGAGCCGCGCGCGCGGGCACTGAGTCCGGGCGGGTCCCCTCTCCTCGCGGAGAGACCTGGCGGCCTCTGGGCGCGATCGGGAGACTCGTAACAAGCAAACGCGTGCAGAGCCCCGCCCGCAGTCGGTGCTATTATTTTTGCAGTTTTTAGCAGCCGGAAAAGCGCTGCAGAAACGCCAAGGGCTTGTTGCACGGAACTTGTGCCCACTTTGGGGAGTAGGGAAGCTGACTGAGGTCCGGTTTGGGTGGGAACCCTTGGTGGGGACGGACGGTGATTGGACCCGAAATCCCTTCCCCGTGCAGTAATGTCCAGGTTACATAAACTCTGCTGTGCCCTCCCCGGCGCGTCCGGCCATCGATGCCAGGCGCCGGCCGTGCTCCCTCCCCGGAGAATTCGCCCGAAGCCTCGGTTCACACGGTTCCAGAACCAGCGGGGATCTGCCTCGCCGCTGCCTGGACGTGACTCCGAACCCCGCTTACTCCTCTGGGGGCGCCCTGGGAGGAGGCCGGGCTGGGTCACTCCGTGCAAAAGACCCCGGAGAGAACCGGGCGCTGGTGGTAGGGGCGATGAACCCTCCCCAAACTTGCATCAACTTAAGAACCCCAGGCCAGGAAAGGGAAAAAGAAAGTGGCTCCTTGCCTTTGTTCTTAATTGCAAAGATGGAGCTGCCAGCTCCTGCAAGGGGAGGGAAAGGAATAAACACTTTCCTGGGGCGACAGAAAGCAGCTGAGCTTCCATTTCTGCCATCTTCCTGTCTAGCCCGGGTCGGGGGAGCAGGGGGTTGCTTTCCCCTCCAAGATCCTGTAAGTTGCTGCAGAAAGGAACGCTGGTGGTCTTACCTCCGGCTGCAGCCACTTCTGCCAGGAGCATGTTGCTGACAAGCACAGTGGGCACCCAGGCCAGCAGCATCCTTGCTTTGGGCGCCCTGCAGGTGGACGAACAACCACTGGCCAAAGTGCGGGCGCTCGGGGTCCCCTCGGCGGCGGCGCTGCCCCGCGTCCCAGCCTTGCAGGCCGACCTGCCCTTGTTCTGCGCTTCTGGTAAACAGCCTCTCTTTAGAGCTGGGAGCTTCCCAAGCTCGTTGGCTGCAGCGGCGCGAGGTGCTGTCGGAGAAAAGGCGCCCCCTGGGTCCTAAGCTCCTGTTCCTGCAAGGTCGCTGACCTGGTGCCCAGAGAGGAAGCTTGGCAAACCCCGAGAAGAGACGAGAGGGGGCCACCCCCAGGCTATGCCGATAAGATAGAGACCTGCACGGCTGCCTTTGCCCCGGGGACTGTGGTCCCTTGGGTTCCATCTGCGTGAGTATAGAGAGAATAAGTCAGTCAAGGGTCATCGTGGAAGCAAAGCAGTTTAGCAAAGTCAGTCAGCTGTACAACCCGGCCAAGTTCTCTGTACTTAGGGTACAAGAAACACTTTTTATTAATAGTTTTTTTTTGGGGGGGGGGGGAAGGAGACCTTTGTGGTTTTATAAGGGAGCTCTGGTGGCTTAGTAAACCAATCCAAAGGAACGTGGTTCGAATCCACCAGCTGCCTCTTGGTAGAAAGATGAGCAATTTCCTCCCGTGCTTTGTTGTTGCTGTTTGTCCTTGAGTCAGAACAGACCCATAGCTGAGCCTCCAGCTGGTTTTCAGAGGCAGTTAATCTCACTGGAGGAGACTACACATCCTTCTCTGAGAAGCAGTTAGTGGATTAGAACTGCGGGCCTTCGAGATTGGAACACAGCCACTAGGCCACCAGAGATCTCTCCTTTATGATTTACTGCTGCTGAAAACCAGCTGGAAGGTCAGCTATTAGTTGGTTCCAACTCAGTGGTAGAAAACAACAACAACAACAACAACAACATGGTTAATTAGGAACCCAGGTGGTGTAATATGGAAGGATGGGCAATCTCCTCCCTGCAATTACTGCCTCTCAGAACCTGCTGAGGATTCAGCTATGGGTCCTTTCGACTCTATGGTACACAGCTATGGGTCCTTTTGACTCTATGGTACACAACGACAACAGTGGTGTAATGTATAACCCATAGGTCATTGACAAGAATCCGCCAGCTACTGGGAGAAAGATAGACAGTGTCGCTAAAGATTTACAGCCTCAAGGGCCCTTTGGTGGCCTAGTGGCAAGAAGATGTGCTGCAATCCAGAAGGCACAGGGTTCAAATTCACCAAATGCTCTGCTGGAGAAGGAGGGGCACTCTCCTCCTGTGCCTGTGGAATCCCATTCTATGGTACAGGATGTTTACAGCCTCAGAAAACCTGGTAGAGGGTCACCATGAATTGGACTCAGTTAAAGGACAGTCGAGTGTCTGGTTATGGTTTATAGACGTTTGCCTTCTTTTAAATTTTTTAAGCAGTGTAACAATGCCAGGGTCAGGCATGTCCTTTTCATTTGGAGGTTGGGATTGGGAATGTCAGAGACAGTTGTTGTTATTGTTGTTGTTAAGTGCCATCTAGTTGACTTTGACCCACAGCAATCCCATGTGTAAGAAGTCTGACCCTTGCCCTAATGAGTGATATGGAAGGAATACTGAAATAAATCTCTCTAGTTAAAAACATGGGTCATGCAAGCGGTTGAGAAACTTGTTCAGCTCCAGAGCAATAATCGGTTGTTTCAACCAGCCCTGAACTCATACAGAGGAAATGAAGTAAAATGTCTGCCCCTCCACACCCTCTGAATACATTTGCAGGGATTTCTATCAATCCTTAAACCTGCAGCCGCTGTGTTAGTCCATCGCGTTGAGGGTCTTCCTCTCTTCACTGACCCTCTTTTCCCAGCGTGATGTCTTTTCCCAAGGACTGACCGCTCCTTACAACATGCCCAAAGTGTACGTCTTCTAACAGTGATTTGTCCTCTCTTTTGGCCGACCCCGGTATATTCAATACTCTATTAGCAATATTCTGTTGTTAGTGTGTGCTGTTGAGTTGGAACCAACTCGAAGCTGACCCTCCAGCAGGGTTTTCAGAGGCAATAAATCGCTGAAGAGGAGATTGCCCATTGGAGCAGCTGGTGGATTTGAACCCCATGCCTTTGGGACTGCAGCACAGATTCTTACCACCAGGCCACCAGAGCCCTCACAGTACTCTATTGTTGTTGTGTACCGTCAAGTCAAAACTGACCCATACCTGACTCTCCAGCAGGGTTTTCAGAGGCAGTAATTACTTGGGAGGAAATTACCCATCATCCCATGGAGCAGCTGGTGGATTTGAACCCTGTTACTTTGGAATTGCAGCACAGTTTCTTACCACTAGACCATCAGAGCTCCCACAATACAGCAAATAAGAATTTACTAACATTACTAACTCATTACTAATCCTAATTCAGAGACACCATTACATAGCTTCCACATCGTATCATTGCTGTTCACCAAGTCAAAACTGACCCGTAGCTGACCCTTGGATTTTCAGAGGTAGTTAACTGCTCAGGGACAAGACTGCCTCTTGAGAAGCACCCAGTGGACTTGAACCATATTCCTTCAGGATTGCAGTGCAGCTTCTTGCCACTAAGCCATCATTTTAGGGAGGTCAAACTCAATCCATAACTGATCCTCACGCTGTGTGGTGACTGTTCTGTTTCCCAGGCAGTATCGGTAAACCAAGAAAGAGTGACTCCCAGAATAGAAATGAGTGGACACCTTGTTTCAATCTGTGGATTTGATGTTTTGCAGAATGTAACTGAAGGAAGAAAGAAAACAATCTGGACTCAATAAACTTCAAAAGTTTTATCAAGGCAGAAGGCTAATGGCCTCCCCAATAACCTGAAGTGACTTTGAACTTGCTACTGGCAGATTTCAGATGTGAAAGCGAATGGAGAGATAAATTTAGTTCATCTTTAAAAGTGTTTGCTGACCATGTTTTGACTCTGTCAATCCATTTAGTAAGATGCGTTGCTATGATTTTGCAAGCATTCTCATGTTTCACCACAGAAACTTCTGATCTGCTGACTTGCTGGCTGCCTGATATAGGGAATGAACTATGAAATCTGTACATTTACTGGCACACACATTGCTATGCCTAAACTACCTTGAAAGATTCTCACACTTTAATGATACAAATCAATTGGCGAACCTGCTACATGCCAGATACAGCCCTGGCTACTGTAGCTACAACTGTGATTCCAAATACTGAAATACCTTGGAAAGCTTGTATTCTAATGGAGAGAGTGATAAATATATATAAAATGACAAGTGGTCTTTAATTTTATGGGGAAAGGTGAAACAGGATAAAGGAAGGAGAGGAACCAGATGGTGTTTGACTTGCTAAAGACAGCTTCCATTATTTTGCAGGAGACAGAAGGAGATTTGGGGAGCAAAGTGCACAGAAGGGCTCTTCACACGATTTTTCTGGATGGTCCCGTTTATTTATTACACTACTGTAATATATATTATATGTTTTTATTTGTTGATTGCCTTAGGGTTGAGCACAACTTATAGTGATCCTATGAACAAAAGGCCTTGAAGCCCCTCTACAACTATAAACATTTATAAAAAAATAGATATTATACATATTATATATTGTTATGTGCTGTCAAGTCTCTTGTGACTCATAGCGACCCTATGTACAACAGCTCTGAGCCCTGCTCTATACTGTGCCAATGTTACTGTCGTTTCCCCAGTCACTGTATCAATCCATCTCATCGATGGTCTCCCTCTTTTTCTCCCTCCCTCCACCCTTCGAAGCATGATGTTGTTGCTCCTGGCAACATGCCCAAAGTATGTCAGACTAAGCCTCAGGATCCTTGTCTCCAAGGAGCAGCCTGGTCTCACCCTCTTCAGGACAAACCTGTTTGTTCTCCTGGCTGTCCATGGTATATTCACTCTTCTCCAGCACCACAGCTCAAAAGCATCAATTCTCTATTACACAGTTGTTATATGTATATGTGTGTATATATATATATACACACACACACACACACACATATATATACACATGTGTGTGTATATATCTATGTTTATATATGTGTGTGTATGTATATATATGTATGTATGTATGTATGTGCATCCATTTCCTAAACAACATGTCTCCAGAAACTCTATGAACTTGGATAAATATCGATAATTGTAGAAGGGCTTTAGGCCTTTTGTTCATAGGGTAGCTATGAGTCATGCTCAACTCGAAGGCAATCAACAACAACAACAAATATATCTGTATCTACTCTACTCCACTCTCTCTCTTTCTCTCTCTCTCTCTCTCTCTCTCGTCATTAAGTGCCATCAAGTTGTAGACGACTCATAGCAACCCTATGAATGAAAGGCCTGAACACTTGTATAACTTTCAGCATTTTTCCATGTTCATAGAGTTTCCAGAGGTAAGCTATTTTGAAAGTGGATGCCACTCCTGCTTTTATATATATATGTATGTATATGGTGTGTGTGTATATATATATGGTGTGTATATATATGATGTATATATACAAGATATATATATGAGATATATATGAGCTCTATATAGAAAGAGATAGAGATATAGAGAGATAGAGATAGGTATATAGTGGCATAATGGCAAGAAATTGCACTGCAATCCCAATGACTCGCAGTTCGAATCCACCAGCTTCTCCATGGGAGAAAGATGGGCACAGTCTCCTCCTGTGTGATTAACTGCCTCTGAAAACCCACCAGAGGGTCAGCTAAGGGTTGGATCTGACTCTACGATACAAAACAACAAAGATATATTGAACAGGAGGAGCCTGCTTCTGTCTCCCTCAGAGCAGCTGGTGGATTTGAACAATGTGCCTTAGCGTTGGCATGCTTCATGCTGGCTGTTTAGGGGAACATCCTTCTGTGAGACTCTAATGGGCTACTTCTGGTTAATAATGCTTCCCCTCAGACTACAATAGAGACAAACTCTACGCAGCCTAGAGGGTTGTGGGTGTTGCACTGCTCATTGAAAAGCTGCTGGTTCAAATTCACCAGTGGCTCC